AGGAAAGGAAAGGCATCCTCTGATTTTTAAAAGCCTAATTTTGTTTTTGTAATTATTATTAATTTCTTTTATTTTTCTACACCATAGTTATTTCCCAACGTTTCCCACTCTTGCTATTAAACAAAGAAAAACAGTTAATCAAAAATGACTGACCAAGTAACTGCAACTTATAGAGAAGGTGATATTCTACACCCCAGTCTGACACCTCTCTAGCAGGAAGAGGGAAGCCTTTTTCATCATCTATTCTCTAGGACTAACTTTGGTCATTTCAATTAATCAGAATTCAACTGCCTTTTGATTTTGTCTTCATTTACATTATCATAGCCGTTTCTGTTGTGTTCTTGGGTTTTCTTCACTCTATCAATTTATACAAATTTTTGCATGTTTCTCTGAATTTCTAATATGCTTCACATGTTTTCTATTATGTTTTTTTTTAGCTTTTGCCCAGTCTATGGACAGCCACTTTGTTTCCTGTTTTGCTTTTGGTTTTTTTTCCTATCAGAAAGAATGATGCTATGATTATTTTGGTACATATGAGGCTTTTATTTCTATCACCTCCTTAGGATATCTGTCCATTAGTAGGATTGCTTGGTCAAAGGTATATGATGTCTAGTGACTTTTCTCTGTATATAACTCCAAACTATTTTCCAGAAACAATGAGCTAGTTAACAGCTCCACCAGCAATGTATTGGTGCCAGCACACTTTTAATAGCCCCCTCTGTGTAATTTCTTTTTGCCTACAATTTTCTTTTTTTGCATGTGCTCACTGCTCAGATATCACAGAATTAGTTTTTCTTAGGCTAATGTGAAAATAATTTAGGAAGGTACTCTATAGTGAAATAACAAGATTTTTCTTATTCATAAAGCATCAGATTGGCCTCAGCTGTGTTTCTGTATTAGCAGGGGCAATTGAAAGTTTGTAGTCATACACATAGCAATATTTTTTGTCATGATAAGAACTCCAAACAAGGTGAGTACCCATTGATTGAGGAATGGATTAAAAACAAAACAAAACATGGTTTATGAATGTAATATTATTGTACAGCAAAGAATAATGAAGAAAAGGGCTTCAGAGGTGTACAAAAATTTATATGAAGTGACACAGAACAAAGTAAGCAGAACTAGGAGAACCATATACTCAGTGACTACAAAAATGTAAATGAATAGATTGCTTAAAGGAAGTCAAGCTCAAGAATCTGAAAAGCCCTTTTTATTTTTGGAGAACAGAGAGTGAATCATCCTTTTTTCCTGTAGACAGAGAGGTGGAAGACTATCAAGACAGAATACTGTATATGTTTATCAGGCATAGTCTCTACATTGACTATTTCTGCTCATTACAAAAGAATGGGTGGGGTGGGGAAGTGAGGTGACAAAAGTCATCAGTAAAAGTCATTTTTCCAAAGAAAGTTGATATGTGGTTACACTATCAAACAAAACCCAGAATGTTAGAATATCCATTTTTTTTCTTTTTTAAAAATTTATTTATTTTTAGTTTCCAGCATTCATTTCCATAAGCATTCAGACTTCATAGCTTTTTCTGGATGTGGACAGCATTTTCCATCATGAGTCTTTTGGAATTATCTTAAGTCCTTGCATTGCTAAGAAGGGATAAGTCTATCAAAGCTAGTCATCACATAACGTGGCTGTTACAGTATACGATATTCTCCTGGCTCTGTGCACTTCACTCAGCATCAGTTCATATAGGTACTTCCAGGTTTTTCTGAAGTCTGCCTGCTCATCATTTCTTATAGCACAATAGTATTCCATTTATATTCATGTACCACAACTTGTTCAGCTGTTCCCCAATTGATGGATATACCCTCAATATCCAATTCTTTGCCACTGCAAAAAGAGCTGCTATAAAGAATATCCATTTTTCTAAAAAAATTTTTTTTTCATATTCAGACACAGTATGCAAATACATTTATCTTATAAATCCTGATAAAATCAGTAAGAGCCATGCTACTGAAAAAGGCCTGTCCTAACAGGATAAAGTGGCCTAAAAATAAATGACTAGCTAAATTTCCAATTTCTCATCCATTGCCCATTTAGGTTTTTATAAAAAGAATCCTTTTCAAATATATGAAGATGTAGTTTATTATTCTATATCTTAATGAATCATTCTGAAAGTTAATAGATGCTGATAATAGTAGTTGGAAATTTGATTCTATGTTTTTAATTCTCTTTTATTCATTGAGGGTACTGGGATAATGTAATTTTTTTCTATTTTCTTTAGCATATTACGGAACTTGTCTGCTAGGAGAAAAACCTTGAAAAGTACCTTCTAAAAGCAGTTATATCACAATTCATATTCACATAATTAGTCTTTTAGTAGCACTGGAACATTTGGACATTCATTTCCCTGTAAGCAGAAAATTTGTGGTAGTTCACGTAGGCAGGGGTATGATCTTTGTAAGCACTAACTCTGGAACATTGACTTGTGCATCAAGAAGCCCTGAAGCTTGTATTATGCAACTGGTGTAACCAACAAATTAACAAAATTATATGGCCATAATGTGACAGGAGCATTTTCCCCTTTAGAAACCACTTTGCAGAAGTAATGGAGCCAGCCTACTTTAAAGGCCTGAAGTATTAAGAATTCAAACCAATGACTGCAGAATTTCATTACCTTTCAATTCAAAATTCCCCAGATATCTAAAATTTCAGTTGCCATTGTTTTTATCTCATTTACCTAAAAATGTGTTAATATATAGTTATTAATTCAGAGAGAGAATCTTCTCTTACCCCCATGTTATATTGTTCACCGAGAGCCAGCATTTATGAGTGAGTTTTCCCAAAAATTTTTTCCTGATTTAGATTTATGGAGACCAACAGTTATATGTCTAAAACTTCTTCAGAAATCTTTTCCTAATTTTAATTTATGGAGACTGACAGCATATTGATTGGGCATGTAGTGATCCATTGACAACCTATTTGCCATAATAGCTATGTATGGATATTTTTGCTAAAAACTATTGAAAACTTGTCATCTTATCACTTAGTTAACATGTCTTCCTTGTGTCTTTTTAAAAATCAGTACTTTTTTTCACATTGGACATTTCTCAATATATTTTTCATCTCCTTACTGCAACTTCACTTGTTATAAAGGAAAACAGTTAAGTGAATAACTGACAAAGAAGCCAGATCTGGCAACATGCTTCATTGTGCACTCTCACTTTTATGTAAAGAGGAGGGGATGCATTTGATCCTTTGTTTTCCAGGATCAAAATCGTTCATCGCAATTAGTATGAGTATAACTGTCTTGTAGTGTTGTTTCAGTTCATATTATTTTAATCATTGTTTATATTTTTCTCAGATGTTCTGCATCTCATCATAAAAGTCTTCTCATATTTCTCTGAAGTTTTCATTGATCATTTTCTGGTATAACAATCTTCTATTAATTTGCATGTTAAAATTTGTTCAGCAATTCCTCATTGGATAGGCACTCACTTTGTATGGAGTTTTTTTGAGTTTAGCCGACACAAGAAGTGCTGCTATGACTCCTTCATTAAAGTTGGGACTTTTTTCCCCCCATCATTTAATTCTTTGGGTAATATATGCCTAGTAGCGACATTACTTGGTCAAAGTTTATAAATAGTTTAGTGACTGTTCTTACATAATTCAAAATTGTTTCCAGAAAGTTTGGACTAATCCATAATTCTGCCAAGAGTGTATTGGAGCATACTGGTTTCTCTTAAGCTCTCAAAAGACAGTGTTTGTGTTTTTTTTATCACTGTTGCCAATTTGGTGGGTATGCAGTGAAACTTCCAAGTAGTTTTCATTTCTACTTACTTTATTACTAGTGATTTGGAACATTTTTTCATAAAGTTACATCTTTTCCCCTTTTATATGTTGGGAATGGCTCTTAAAAGTCATATATTTACATTAATTCCTAATATATCTTGGATATATAGGGGATGTTTGACACCAAGTTTTTTGCCCCAATTTACAGTTTCTGTTTCTTTCCTAGTTTCATTGATTTCATTCTTGCGAAAGTGTTTCAATTTTATGTAATTGAAATTATCTTTTCTCTGATGATCCTCTCTGTTATTCAATTTTTAAAGTATTCTCCCTCTAACCATAAATTTTAAAATGACTTCTTTCCATCCTCCTAATTATTTTTAACAGTGTGACCTTATATATTTAGAGTGCTTATTCCTTTAGAACATGATTCTTAAAAAAGTATACCTGTAGAATTGTGCTTTTAATATTTATAGCAGGAGAGTTATTAGATTGTTTAAAAACCAGTATAATAATTAAATATAAAATTACATTTTCATCCCTTAATTGTGTTTGGAATTATCTGGTGCTTTCTTTATTCCTTGTTCTCATAGAAATCATATGACCTAGTGTTGGAAGATTAGCTAGAGATTAACTAATCTAACCTTTTATGTAATCTAACCCTTTCCTTGTACAGATGATGAAATTGAGAGTCATAATGGAACAGATAGGTTGTCTGACCATAACTTAGTTACAGGCAAAGGTGAAACTAGAGCTATTAATTCATAAACCAGTGCACATTCTACACTAATGGTGTCAAACTTGAATAGAAATGTATCCTTGCTAACCACATATTGACTTAGAAGACCACAAATTTACCTTGTTGTATTATCTTTTTATTTATTTTGTTAAATATTTCCCAAATACATTTTAATCTGATTGGGCACATTGTGAAGTATTGCAGTGAGTTTGATACCTCTGCACACCATTACTTTGCCTCTCTATTCCTTGTTAATAATAATTATAAAAATAAAAACAGAATTATGAAAATTCACAATATCCATAGGTAATAAATCTAGAATATTTAATCTTTTTTTTGCTTTTAGATATAAATCCACACAGTACATTTTAGATGTAAAAACCCTAAAGAGCATAGATTATCTTCAGATTTGTACTAATTTTATATCCGTTAAGTCCCAGGAGTAGTTACAGGGCACATGTAATTGTGTTTTAGTATAGTTTTGGAGAATTTTTAAAAATTGCTTAACTATTTCCTTCAGGTGCAAGCGGAGACCATGTTTATATCCATTGTTACACAGCTGAAAAAGAGGACTTTGGTGCGCAAGATGCAGCACGGCTTGACACCTGGGTTTTTGACCAGGTTAAGGTGAATATAATTTTATGTTATTCACTATTACATACAGTACAACAAAAGGGACTATTTTCAGACTTGTAAGCTAATATTTGTTGTTCAATGTGTTGTTATCTGGTCTGTATCTAAGCATGAATGCCATGTTAATTTAGTTTCTGTTTATCATGAATGGATCTTAGAATGAATTTGAACTTCACTTATTAGAAAAATTACTTTAAAATACTTAATTCTGAAAAAAATGTAGGTTATTTCCTTCCATCGAATCTCTTCTCTTAAATCAGTCTTTGTTGTTGTTATTGTTGTTCTGTAATTGTTCAGTCATGTCCCATTCTCCATGACCCCATTTGGGGTTTTCTTGGCAAAGATACTGTAGTGGTTTGCCATTTCCTTCTCTAGCTCATTTTACAGATGAGGAAACTGAGGCAAGCAGGGTTAAGTGACTTGTTCAGGTTCACCCAGCTAGTAAGTAAAGTCTAAATTGATATTCTTCTAAAACAAATCTGATCATGTCATGCTCTCATTCAGAAGTCTTGGATGATTCCCTCTTGGTTCTAGGATAAAATACAGACTCCTCAGCCTGGCCTTCAAGGCCTTTTACAATCCATTTCCACTTTTCTAATCTTACTTCATATTTTTTCCTATTGTCTCCATCCTTGTCAAACTAGTCGGTTATCTATCTGTTCTCTGTACAGTAGCAAAAATAGTAGGTGCCCTATATCTGAAATATGTTCCTTCCTCACCTCTGCCTTTTGGAATTCCTAGTTTACCTCAAAACATGGATCGAGTGCTATTTCCTACGTGAGGCTATTCCTAACTCTTCCTGTCCCCCCATATCCCGGTTATTAGTATACTCACTATTAAAATTATTTTGTGCATATTTTCTATTTACATATATGTCTGTATGTATATACATACACACACACACACACACCCCTATATATGTATATATGTTGTATTTCCCTAGTAGCATGTAAAACTATTTGAGAGCAGTAACTATTTTTGTTTGTACCCCAGGGTCACTTTGGATGTAGTAGGAAAAGTTTATTGAATATTTATTGAATTCAATTTGTAAGTTTCTTCAAAGTTAAGAGGTACCTTTTAAAAACACTAGAAAATGTTGTCTTATAATTGTGCGTCATTGAAAAATGTAATACAGTGGTAAATGAATTTCACTAGAACTCAGGAAACTTGGGGTTTCAGTCTTAGCCATCACCTACCTGTCTGTTCATTCAGCCCACTTTAATTCCTTTGCTTTAGTTCCTTGTTTGTAAAACATAGATAATAACACTCACACTCTCAGCTTTATAGGGATTTTGTGAAGGTCAAAGGAGAAAATAAATGTGAAAGTTCTCGCTTTGAAAAAGTTCTTTTATGGGTACAACTCATTTGTGAGTCCCATAAAACAAACTGTAAAAGCTTACAGTTTCTTTCTAGCATTTTATACACAGAAAAAGATTGGAGAAACAAACAAAAAAGTGGTCACGGTTAGATGCCTATGATTTTTACACACTGAAGAACTGTTTCAGATTACGAAGTAGCACTAACATTTGTTACAGTGCCTGGAAAGAATAGAGGATGAGGAAGTTCTTGTCATGTGTTATAAATGTAGAGTTGTCACTTTCCCCATCCTTCCTATCAGTGTTCCTCATCTTTTTCAAAACAGTTCAATATCCCCACTCCCCAGCAACAGCATTGATGAGTTATGGTTCACTTCTTCTGTTTATTCTTTTAGGTCACCTGTTCTCAAAACTTTGTAATCATTTTTCATACTCCATACAATCAGTTGCCAGGTCCTAACAATTTGGGGGCATTTGCTTGAACTTGATTTTTCATTAGTGATAATTGATTTGCTCACATTTAGTTTGTATTTTCTTATCAATCCCATATATTTGTATCCATCCTCTCCTTACTATGCCTATTGTAGTCCTTCTAGTTCATGCCTTCATTTCCTGTCATCTGAACTGTTATAAGAGCTTATTTGCCTCTAGTTTATCTCCTCTTTCCATTAAATATTACATTTCATTGACAGATTAATATTTCAGTGCTTACACAATTCCTGGCATGTAGCAAGTGCTTAATAAAGGCTTCTTGACTTGACTTGTCTTAACTCTCAGATGCGTAGGTCTGATACCATCACAAAACGGCTCAAAAACTTTCAGCCCCTCACTATTGTGTTCCAGTCCCTTGCTTTGATTTTCTAAGTCCCTCATGATATGACCAAGAATCTCAGAGTAAGTATCTCAGGTAGAAGGCCCTGCAGAGGCCACCTAGTACAAGTCATACCTGAAGAGCATTTTTTCTGCAATATACCCAACAAGTAGTTGTCCAAACTTTGTCTTGGTGCCACTTTCCAGTTTTAACTCCTGTTATATTTTTGTTTTCAGCAAACTAGCATACTTACTACTTTCTGAATGTGTCCTCTGCTTTGTCTTGTGTGCTTGCTCATGTTATTCCTTTTGCCTTGAGTAGTCTCACCCCAGTTGACATAATAAAAATTTGTTTATCTGTTTATTCAGCAAGTATTTAAGTGCCTCATATGTCCTTGGAACTGGGATTACAAAGACAAAAATCAAAGCTTCTGCCCTCAAATAATTTACATTCTATTGGAAGGAGTAAACAACCTGTTAAACTTCTCCTGAAGTTGGAATGTAACTTCTATAAAGTATGCAAATTTTCTTGCTAATAATCTTTTGTATTTCTGTGTTAGTTTTAGGTTAAAAGATGTTTCTCTCCTTAGTATGTGTATTAAGAGTTTGATCTTTTGTGGACATGTTAGGTTTACTCTGTTCCTCGATCCTAGATTGTGCTGGGACTATGTTGTGAGGCTCAGATGAGATAATGGATGTAAGCACTTCGCAAAGTACTTTGCTTTACAACCTTAAAGTGCAGTATAAATGTCGGTTATCATCGTCATCATCATCATCATGATTATTAGCTTATAATGACCAGTCCTCTAGTCTGCATGACTTCATTCCTTGAGCTTTCTACTGTACTCCTGTTGAGATCAAGCTATGTCAATAGAGCAATACAAGAATAGGGCAAAACAAGAATGTTTAACAACCAGATTCTTTGGGGCAGGGGGAAGTATACAAAACCGTTGTGGACTTAATCTGTGTTATTAATACTTTTTAAAGTATAAGACAGTCAACAAAATAATACCATGCCCTGATTTGTAGTGATTATTGATTTTTGAGGTGTCAACACTCACAATGGAAATGTAACAATGGGCTTTCATTAAGCCAAAGTGAGCTGGCTCCATCACACCTCTGACTGTACTCCAGACCTTACAAAAATGTACCCATTTACCTAGAAAGAATTGAGCTAGGAGATTATAGTATAGTGAACAGATACCTGTACTAAGGACACAGCTAAATGTCTACACCTACTACTACACCTATATACCAGAAAGTATGTGATGTGATGATAAGACTGAAATAAAATTTTAAAAAACCTTCAATTTCTTGGCACCTGACCATAGGTGACTGCTTTTTAAATGCTCATTTCTGAGCTACCACAATCTACTGTTAAGTTATTAAAACATGGAACCCAAAGTTTTAAAAACACATGTTAAAAACTGTTTTTACGTGCAACTGAGGAATAAGATATACAGGCAGTGGGGTATAGAAATCTATCCTGCCCTACTGGAAAATAGAAAGGGGAGGGGATAAGAGAAGAGAGAGGGTGATAGAAGGAAGGGCAGATTAGGGGAAGAGGTATTCAGAATGCACACTGTCTTGATGTGGGGGGAGGGGAGAGATGGGGAGAAAATTTGGAACTCAGCATCTTGTGGAAGTGAATGCTGAAAACTAAAATAGATTAATTTTAAAAAAGATATTAAAACAGTGGAATGAAGTTAGCCCTGTATTTTATAAGTTATGGAAGAAGCTGTCCATTAAATTATAGGAATCCTAATACTGTCGCTGCTACTAATACTAGCTGATATTTATTTAGTTTAGTGCATAATGATATACAAAGCCCTTTTCATACATTCTTAATTGATTCAATTTAACAATAATCTTGTAAGATAGATAACTTGAGTTTCAAAATATCCATTTTAAAGATAAGGGAATTGAAACCAAGAGAATCAAAATGATCTATAGTCAAACAGCTAAGAAGTAGCAAAGTCAAGATTTCTATTTAGAATTTAAAATTATTCAGAGGACAAGAATCTCATTATAGTGTTTTTTTTTTTCTTTCTTCCCTTTTTTTTTCTTTTGGCTAGGCAATGGGTTTAAGTAACTTGCCCAGGGTCACACAGCTACTAAGTGTCAAGTGTCTGAGGCTGGATTTGAACATAGGTTCTCCTTACTCCAGGCCCGGTGCTCTATCAACTATGCCACCTATTATAGTGTCCCATCCTATTATAGTGTTTTGAGTGAGTTCTATGATAGTTTATATATAAAGGAGGATTATATTGTTGTTATTTTTGCTGTGTTTTTGAGTAACTTTTACTGTAAATGCTGTATATCCTTTCTTTTTACTGTCTTCATCAGCAGCATTAGATTGCTTTACAGAAAGTCTCAAATAGTATGTTAATTTCGTGGAAAGAAATTTCTATGTTCATATTTTGTGAAGTTTGACATGAACCACATAGTTAAGTATATATTGATTTATTTATATTTGTATCAAAGACAACATAGTTTAATGTCTTGAGAGCCAACCTCAAAGTTAGGAAGACCTGGGTTTAAATCCTGCCTCTGACACACTCTGACTGTGTCACTTCAGGCAAATTACTTAACCTCTCAGTGTTCTAAGCACCTTTTTAAGACTAGAAGTTGTAAAGGATATACCAATCTACATTAGTACAAAGGAGTTTTCTCACCTGGAAATTCCTTATACAATTAAAATGACAAGATCTAGTCTCTGTCCCTATCTCTTTATACCTATATTTAACTCATTTCACTTGAATTAAATTTTTTTTTAGTTAAATTAACAGACATGCTTACAAGTTCATATGCTTGTGAGTAATTTCTGAATCATTTATCCTTGCTGGGACTTCTGAAAGCAAACCTTAC